GGGGGGGCGTCACCGCGTCACCCCGGGCATGGAGACGGCACGTCGGGGACGGGGACGTCAACCTGGGGACGGGGATGTCAACCCAGGCATGGAAACGTCAACCTGGGGTGGAGGACGTCAACCTGGGGATGGGGACGTCAACTTAGGGACGGGGACGTCAACCCAGGCATGGAGACGTCACCCCAGGGATGGGGACATCAACCTGGCAATGGAGACGTCACGTTGGGGACAGGGATGTCAACTGGGGGATGGGGACGTCACCCTGGAGATGGGGACGTCAACCCGGGGACGGGGACATCAACCCGGGCATGGAGACGTCACCCCGAGGATGAGGACATCAACCTGGCGATGGAGACATCAACCCAGGTATGGAGACATCACATCGGGGACGGGAACGTCAACCCGGGGACGGGGACATCAACCTGGGCATGAAGACATCACCCCAAGGATGGGTACATCAACCCAGGGATGGGGACATCACTATCACCCCAGGGATGGAGACGTCACTCCAGGGATGGAGACATCAACCCGGGGATGGAGACGTCAACTTGGCGACGGGGACATCACCCCAGGGATGGAGATGTCATCCTGGGGGTGGGGACGTCAACCTGGGGATGGGGACATCCCATCGGGGACGGGGCCATCACCCCAGGGATGGAGACATCAGCTTGGGGATGGGGATGTCACCCCAAGGATGGAGATGTCACCCCAGGGACAGGGATAGGGACATCACCCTGGGGATGGGGACATCACCCCAGGCATGGAGACATCACCTCAAGGATGGAGACGTCACCCCCAGGAGGGAGACATCACCCCCAGGAACGGGGACAGCACCCTGGGGATGAGGCCATCACCCCAGGCATGGAGACATCACCCCGGGGACTGGGATGGCACCCCGGGGATGGGGGACATCAGCCTAGGGACGAGGACATCACCCCAAGGATAGAGACATCACCCTGGGGACAGGGAGGTCACTGGGAGCGCCTCCTCTGCACAGCTGGACCTGGGAACGGGGACGTCACCGCAGGGCTGGGGACACGGATGGCAAGCCGTTCGCGGGGACACCACCACGGAGACAACAGGGACACGCGTGGGGGGACGCAGGGACACTCACTGCTCCGACGCCAGGATCATCTTGGCCAACATGGGCTCCACGGGCAGCTCCGCCATGCGCCGGCCCAGCTAGGGACGGGGACGGGGACACGGTCACGGCACCCAGTGCTCCCAGGAACCCCCTGCCCAGCCGGGGCCACCCCAGCGGCGGGGACACGTCCCTCCCAGTGCTCCCAGTACCGTGGTGAGCTCGCCCAGGTGGTTGAGGGCGCCCAGGGCGTAGAGCTGCTCCAGCGCCAGCACCAGCGTCTCGTGGGGCGGCGGGTCCAGGAAGTCAAAGTGGATGAGGGCGTTGATGCCTGGGGACGGGGACGTCACCCTGGTGTCACCTGGGCTCTGAGCTGCCCTAACTGTCCCTGAGAAGCCTCCTGAGATGCCCCAACAGCCCCCCCAAGATGCCCCGATGGCCTGGAGATGCCTCCCAACATGCCCCGATGCCCTCTGAGATGCCCTGATGTTCCCCAAGATGCCCCCCAAGACACTCTGAAGGTTCCCAGATTCCCCAGTGCCCCCTGAGATGCTCCCAAGATGCCTCTTGAGATGCTCTGAAAGCTCCGAGGTGCCTGATGCCCCCCTGAAACACCTCTTGGGATGCCCCTATGGTCTTCCTGATGCCTCACTTGCTCCTGAGATGCCTTAACACTGCCTGAGATACCCATCAAGATGCCCTACTGCCCCTCAAAATGCCCTAATGCCCTCTGAGATGCCCCAATACCCTCTGAGAGGCCCTCCAAGATGCCTGCCTAAGATGCCTTGGTAGCTACCAAGATGCCCCAATGCCTGATGAGATACTCCAATACCCTCTGAAATGCCTGCCTAAGCTGCCTTGGTCACCTCCAGAAGGCCCTGAAGCCCCCCAAGATGCCCCAATACCCTCTGAGATGCCTCCTGAGATGCCCCGATGGTCCCCAGGAGCCCCTGAAGCCCTCCAAGACGCCCCAGTGCCTTCTGAGATGCCTCCTGAGATGCCTCCTGAGATGCCCCAGTAGCCCCCAGAAGGCTCTGATGCCCCCTGAGATACTCTGATGCCCCCTGAGATGCTCCTACGGCCCTGAAATGCCCCGATGCCCCCCAGGATACCCCTC